GCTGGGCTCTTGGGTCGGAGGCCACCTTGTAAACAGGCAATCCCAGCGTCATGCCGGCCCCTGAAATCGCAAGTGACACGCGTGGAAAAATTCATGCCGATTCTAAAAACCTGACATTCAAGATGTAAAACTGAACAAAGCCATTAAAAGCCATTCCTGAGGTGACAGCTTTTTACAGTTGTCTGGGAGAAAGAGAATTTCCGAAGATGGGCCGCAGCAGGCCGAGCCCCCGTCCCTGGCTTGGGGAGGGACCGCGGGCCAGATCGTCACCCCGCATACTAAATACATCACCTAAGTTCTGTGCATAGGAAAGCCAAAACGCCCATGACCTTGGAATGAGAAGGGCATGAGAGAGGTGAGCAGGAATGGTAAGATAGCCAGGTGTGGTCCCCAAAACGGGTCGCTCCCCACAGCCTGAGAACAGGATTCCGTCCGCCACCTGCTGCCACCCCTACTCACTCCCCAGGGGGCACATGGGTGACTTCATGCTTTTCTGGCAAGCCGCGTGCCCACAGCGACGTCACGGACCCTGCTGGTGGTCTGGAGGGTCCTTTGTGTTGATGAGCCAGAAACAGTCTTGGGAGAGATGCCCCTGGAGGCCTTGTGTGAGCATGACCTCGGGCCAGACGGGGACGCAGCAGGGTGACGGGGTCTCTGGGGGCTCCGGGGACGGTCCAGCTTCCTTGAGTCGGGGGCGCCTCTCATTTGCGTTTGCGAGAGCATCAGAATTCTGTGAAGGGAAACAGACCCTCTCAGGACGGGAGAGGATTTTTGTTTGTTTGTTTTTAAAGACTGACTGACTGATGCGAGAGACCGAGTGCAAGGGGAGGGGGGCGGCCGGAGAGGAAGCGAGAAGCTCCGGTAGCCTCCATGCTGCTCACGGAGCCCGACGGGATGCCGGATCCCGCCTGAACGTCAGGACCTGAGTGGAAACCAAGAGTTGGTCACTGAACCGACTGAGCCCCCGGGCGCCCCACCAGGACAGTTTCGATAAAAGCCAGATGCGTCTTCTCATCCTTCCCATGACGAAGCTGCTGTGCGAAGAGGTAAAGCTTCCAGACGCTGAAGATACACGCGTGCATGCAAGTGCGTGCGCAGATGCATGTGGGGTGTGCAAGCGTGTGCATGCGTGTGCACGTGTCGGTTCATCCGTGCATGTGTGTGTGCGCATGTGTGGGTGGGTGTTGCGTGTGGTGCATACATGTGTTACGTGCAAGGGGTGGACATACATACGTGTGCGTGTGGGTGTGCATGTGGGGGTGTGCGTACCTGTTTGTGCTTGTGGGTGTGTGCATGTGTATGCACGTGTGTGTTGGTGCACACATGCGTGTGTGGGGGTGTACACATGCGGGCATCTGTGGCTGTGTGCCTGCGGGGCATGCGTGTGCATATGTGTGGGGGTGTACGTGCGTGTAGGTGTGTTGTGTGCGCCTCCATGCGTTCGTGTGTGTGTGCATATGTGGGGGTGCGGAGCGCGGGCATGCGTGTGTGGCTGGGTGTGTGCCTGCTGGGCATGCACGCGTGGGGAGGGTCCCTGCATATCTGAAGGCTGTGCTCCAGACAGACATGGAGAAACGCTCTCCCTTTGAAGAGACTGTCTCTTCCCACCACAGGTTTGGCTTCTGATTTCCTGCAACGGACTCCCGTCCCCCTCGTGCCTTACACAGTTCTCATGTTTTGAAACTTAGCCATCAGCAAGTGAGCGCTGATGAAATCTTGCTGTGGCGAAAGCTGCCCTAGGCGTCGTCCCAGAGCCAGAGCCCGTACTGGGAAACCCGATGGATCTGGCCACACGTACATTCACAACTGGTGCGTCACAAGCAGAAGCTGAATTCCAAAGTTAAAAGATGAACAGAAACATCAATGTGGTGCACGCAAGTGCCCGGGAGAGATGGGCTAAAGCCCTTCACAGACAGAGCTCTGGGGTCAGAGGAAGACACAGAGCCCAGGAGGAAAACAAAACACATGCAGGGACGTGTACGGGCAAGCTTCCCAACGGCCCCGAGCAAAGTCGAGATGCTCAATGTCTCCAGCAGCCAAAGGCATGGAATCAAAGCAATAAAAGGCCTGTTCCCCGAGACCAGACGGAACGTGCAGTGCAGCCAGGAGGAGACGAGGGGCTGCGGGGACAGAGTGGGGGACACGGCACCAGTTGGCGCCTCTGGAGGACACCTTGGCAAAATGAATGGTAGTCACCCCACAGTGTCTGTTTCTGGAATTTACTCAGGCAACTTCCAATGACACACAGCAGCCCCCACCTCAGTTCCCGTGGCGGCCCCGGTCCGGGCACAGGTGACCCTCCTTCAGACGGATGCCCGGGCCCACAGTGGCCTCCCGCTGCGCCACGCACCTGCACCCCGCACCTCCCTCCTCCCGCCATGTGGGCCTCTCGTCCTCGCATGGTGTCCAAGAAGGGTGAGCCCAGGACAACGTGGTATCTGGAGAGCGAGACCACAGCCACGTGACTCTATCGCGGCGCACGGTTACGGTGGCCCTATTTTACTATCAGCTGCGTCCTCATTCCCTTCCTGTGCCTCGTGTACAAGCTGACCTCGACCGCGGCTCTGGCCCTGTGGGAGACGATGGAGTCCGTATAGGGCTCGGCACTCTCCATGGTTTGAGGCGGTCGCTGGGGGTCTTGGAACAGATCCCCCACGGATAAGGGGTGGGGGGGGGCAGCGCTACCTTATCATCGGAGATGTTCATCACGGCGCCGCTTAAAAACTGTAAAGAAACATGCCACAGTAGTTACGGTCCGTATCTCTGCATAGCTACGTTATTAATGAGATCCGTCTTCTCAAACTCCTTGTAATGAACGCCTATCACTCTCACAGTGAAAACCATGCTTTATTAAAGGAACGCACGGAAGCATTACAACAATGCTTTCATGGGCTTCTTGACACTTGGCCCCCGAACTCCCCAGACCCGCAAGATTAGAACTGCCCCCCGCCTTACTCCCTATGAGAAAAAGCCTCTGGTTCTCATCCTGTGAAACCTCTGGAACTCACTAGATGGAAAGGAACCCCAGCTCCCCCCCCCCCCCAAGGCATCTGGGCGGAGGCCAAGGAGGCCAGCGGGGACATCCAGACAGACAGTCACCATGCCTTCTTTTCATCTGCTTCTGTCACCAGGCAGGCTCCCACCGCTCGGCCCCTGGGACCCCCAGCAGCCCCCGCAACACACAGGCTGTGAGCAGGGGCATCTGAGCCAGGAGGTCCCGTGGCCTGGGAAGAGAGCAGAAACAGAACCTGACCTACCCTCGGGGCGCTTCTGAAGACCAGCTCCCCTCCCCTCTGCAGACAGGCCATCAGCGATGTCTCTTCCACATGCCTCTGCCCGTTTGAAAGAGCTGCTGGTCTGTGCACAAACCCAGCCACGCACTGCCCATCCCCCCCCCCAAGGCCAGAACCCCAGCCCCACAAGCCAGGCCCAGGGCCCGCACTCCCAGGTGCTCAGAGACCAGCTCCAGAGGGGCTGAGCCATGCTTGCCTTGCGGACTCCTACCTGCCCCGCTTCCCTGGGCGGGTTACTGGCCCAGCCTCAGCTTTCTGGGGTTCCTGATCTCTTTCGGGTGAGAGCAAGCGCCACAGCTAAGGGCACAGGCGGCTGGCGGCCTGGGCAGTTTTGCTGGAGAGAAAGCCGGCCCTGCAGCAGGCAGCCTGGGCAACGTGGGCTTGGGGGGGCCGAGGTGGGGCGGCTTCCAGGGCCCCCAGCAGGCTCAGCCCAGAGCTCAGGGCACACTCCGGCGCGGGGGGGCAGGAGGACCGCGCCGCGGGCTCGGTGCCAGGCACACAATGGCCACTCGTGGAGGAACTTCTAGTAACACTGCATCGGGTCATCGCAGCACCGACGTCAGGACGGACCGCCTCTCCGGGTCCCCACCTTCCAGCACTCACTGGGCGCGCGCACCCCCACTCCCGCCCCGCGCCGCGCCGCGCCGGCACCCCAGGGACAGGGCGGCCCCCAGCGCCGGCCCCGCCTCCGGCAGGGCGGGCGGGGGGTCACACGTCAGCCACCCCGAACTCCCCGGCGCGGGGGCGTCCCGGGCCAGAGCGAGCGTGGGCGCGCGGGCGGGACGCAGTGGGGGAAGCGGGGGGCGCGCGGGGCGCGCTGTGCTGGACGCCGGGCGGTGGGGGGGGCGAGGGCGGGGGCGCCCCGCAGTCGGCCGGCAGGTGGGCGCGCGCTCGCGGGCGGGGGTCCGGCGGGCCGCGCGCCTCCCCCGGAACTCGGCCGTGCCATTCCCATGATGCCCAGCCACCGGGCACGGCTTCCGGAGCGCGGCCGCCGGTAGGTCCGGGGAGGGGGCGCCGCCGCTGCCGCCCGCGCCCGCCCGCCCCGCCCCCCGGCCCCGCGCGGGCCCG